ACCTTTAACCATCAAAACGTAAAAGCATCAATCCCCCTTAACAGGCAAATCTGTCTGGAAAATTTCAGAAATTTTCGTCAAAAAGCGTAGGAGTTATTAAGCTTCAAACAGGGTGACAGAATCGTGCCCCACACACGCACATACCTACTAACACAAAAGAAAAAACGAATTTTTCTATTTCTTGAAGTTTCCCGAGTCCAAAAATATATATATATATATGCCTATACATATAAAACTTTGCATCCGTCTTTTAAGGAGGAAAAAATTCCAAAATTAACTTATATTATTTTAGACGTCATCATATAAAATTGGAACAATTGGGTATGGATACAACTTTGTCTAATAATGTAGCTCGATATTTAATTAAATATTCTATTCAACAAACTGAAACGAAGGTTTACAACGGTATGAAAACTAACATTATATCTTATAAATAATTTATAAAAATATATTACACGAACAACACAGTGTTTTAAATATATTTAGAAACTTATAATACGCCTACTTACGGAGAACTTCATAACGTACAGTATCTGTCAAAAGTTTTGATACCGAGTGTTATCTTTTATACTGTCCAGAAAGAAATGGCAAAGTTTTGCTTAGCTCCATTCAAAAATAGAACACCGAAAGATTACAAAATCGTTTACTCTATAAAGAATGGACTTTCCTCGTTCTACGAAAACAGCCAAGGATAACAACTAATTCACAAAACTTTGAAAATAGTGCGTAGATGTGATGTCGCCAAGACGTAGCATTTTTACAATTTTTTTACCTTTCGCAGACTTCTTATCTTCGGATTAATTAAATAACTTTTTCTGTCTTTTAATACGGTTTTCGAAAATTTTTCATCTATTTTCAAATATGTTATTTTCTATTTAATAGCGAGGTTGCGGCCGAAGTTTTCATCTCTAAAACGTGAACGTGAAACGTCGAGCGCCGCTTACAAGATACGGAGCTGGACGTTCGACAATCTCGCTAATTGCTTCAATTTTTAACCGTAATTTAATATAAATTATATGTTTGTTCCAACGATTAACAGTTGAAAAATCGTTTCGAATATGCTTTTTCGTTCGGATTTGTTATAAATATAATTTATTTCAAAACTAGAAGAATAATAATAAAATGGGTTTGCGCATTTATAATATAAAATTTTAAAATTCGATTAATTATTTTGTTTTAATCACGAATGTGACGAGACTTACAACGATTCTGTTGTGTCTGCGATAAACTGGATATATACATCGCGTGACTTTTGTTTCGTAGAAATTCTCACGCCTGGAGGAAGACAACTTCGGAGTGCAAAAAGGTTAACTCCTTCACCTTTCGATCGGCCGGGAATAAAAAGAAAGATAAATAAAATTTTAAACAAGTTATTCGAAACTCTAAAAAATATTTAATATTTTTTCCACACGGCCCAGGTACTCTGGTCCCACTCTGGTGTGTCGCGGCACACCGATTGGATAACGCTTATGTACACTATTGTGAGCCGCCGGGAAGGTTGAAAATTCCCTTCCTTTACGACAACGGGTCGGTGACCTACTTTCTTGTCAAGGATGCCGTTTACGTTCTGTCACGTGTTACCCGAGTGGAGGAGAGTCAGAGGGATCGACGATAAGACGATGGCACAGTCGAATAAACAGTGGCGTGCCGTGGGACATTTGATGATAGGAAAGCCGCGCTTCTATAAGAGGCCGACTTCCAGGTTCAATCAATTAATTCTTTCTTTAAATGTATTTTTAATAGATTATTTATCTGACGTACTTAATAAATAAACGAGTTCGATATAATTACCTCCGTTATTAGATCCAATATATTCCATACGCCCTCTAAATGCCGGTTCTCGCTTCGATAAAAACGTATAACATCTATTCATTTAGATATAATATATCTATTAACCGTAACTATCTCGTTATAATTTTCAATACAGTATTTATTTTATATTATTTACTAATGTTAAATTCTATTCCGCTTCGATTTTCAAATTGCTTCAAATACGAAAGAATCGACGATTTTTCGCGTTTTTGCCAGCTAAATTGTCAAAGCCACTCTTATTCCACACTCTAATTTCATTCGAAAACAGCAGGCGAGCCAACGAAACACTTTTTGCATTTTTACGCATTTACGGAGCCATTTTATCGTGAAAATGTTGAACAAATTTTTTTATCGAAGCGTTTATATTTAACTTAGGCATTGGCCTTTCTCTTTTAATAACGTTTTCTTTTTCATTATATTATCTCGAGCCAAAACTTTTTAAATATAAATTTTCAATATCGCAATTACATTCGGAATCGCTAGCCACGATATAAGGGCTAAAATTAAAAATAAAATTATAAAAACTTACTCGGTGAAATAAAATATAATGTGGTGGATATACGTACCCGGTACAAAATATTCTTCGATTGTACGAATATACTTTTAAAGAAAATTATAATTAAATATAGGTTTGTAATGAAACGTACGTACATAAAAATAACAAAATATTCTTTACTCTTTAAATCTTAACCACTTAGTCAAATAGCTCCCTACGAGTGGAATCGGAGACGGTCCCGCTAGGTGCGCGGTACGTGCATGCACGCGGGCTGCCAAATCCCGAGGGTGCCCATCCCGGTCAATGTCAAACGCCCGTTTATTCGCATTACTTCTTCTTCTTCTTCACATGCCATGCCCGGTCCCCCGGACGTTGGCGATCACCAAGGAGAGGGAGTTCCTATCTTCGGCCGTTCTCATTACATCCCCAATGTTTTGTATGCCTGTCCATTTTTTAACATTGTCCATCCATAATAAATGTCTTCGGCCTCGTTTACGCTTTCCCTCAATCTTTCCATTGAGGATTAGTTGTGGGATTTTGTATTTTTCTCCTCTAGTGATATGTCCCAAGTACGCAATCTTTCTGCACTTGATTGTTGACAGCAATTTTCTGTTTGTTCTTGCTCTGCTTAGAATTTCGTTGTTGGTCACTTGATCCGTCCATGGGACTCTCAGCATTCTTCTGTGAATCCACATCTCAAATGCCTCCAGTCTTCTTTCTGTATTCCTTTTTAATGTCCAGCTTTCCACACCATAGAGGAGAACTGACCAAATATAACATTCGGCCATGCGTTGCCGCAATTTCAAATTTAAATTGTCGTTGCAGAGCAGGGTTTTCATTTTTTGGAAGGATGTTCTAGCTGCTGCTATCCTGCATTTAATTTCTTTCCCTGAATCTATATTTTCTGTAATTTTGCTTCCCAAGTATTTAAACTGTTTGACCCGTTCAATTTTTTTTGGTCAAGAACAAGTTGTGCCTCTCTGTGTGGGGTCTGACTAAAAATCATAATTTTAGTTTTGTTTGCATTTATTTTGAGACCGGCATCAATTCCTGCTGAGTTAATTTTGTTTAGTAGTACCTGTAAGCCTTCTAGACTGTCGCATATGATTAGTGTATCATCAGCATATCTAATGACGTTAAGAATTACGCCGTTGATTTTAATCCCATAATTTGAGTTTTCTAAGGCATTTTTGAANTTGCTCAGCAAACAGTCCCCCTATAAATAATCGGCCAATAGAAACCCAGTTATAGGTATAAATGTATCTTATTCCCGACAGAATTGTTATAAGATGGCAAATATGTCGTACGCCTTGATCGTCTTTCTTATACTAATTCAATTTTCGTGGGTAAAGTGTTACGAAATATTGAATTGCGGTGAGTGCGTTTTTGAATTTCGTATTATTAATTAAATAATTTTAACCTTTTGCCAAGACAACAGAATTTTGGCTGTAATGGAATACGAAAAACGCTTTGTCGTCGTTCTATTCGTGCGGTTTCTCACCGTTTCGTAATATTGCATTAATCTAGGAAAACATATCAAACCCATATTTATTGGTAAAATATATTATTTGATCACCTATTAAAACATGGAAAATCGATAAAATATTTTAAATTAATGTTTTTAATGATCTGAATTATCTTGTAACTATGGAATATGAATCGAATTTTAAAGTGTTTGATGATTTATAATTTACCGCCATTCGTTGATAACTTTTTGTATATTTCGTAGACGATGAAAACAGTCAACAAGTAGAAGTATCTGTCAAAAGCGTTGTACCATATCCAATCATTAGTGACGAGCCATATACTATTTCGGGAACTCTGAATTTTCTAAAAGACGTGCCGTGCAGTGCTTTATCGCTTATTACTGCGGTAAAATCTGGCGAAGACAAGAGCAAATGCGATAAGAACATGTATGTTTACCGAATTCAATTTAAGATATTTTAAATTGAGAGTAATTTTATTATCGCATTCTTATGTTCTTTATGTAATATGAATGCTGTATATTCAAATTTATATATAATTATAGATTAGACCTCCCTACAACACGGGTTCCTATAGTTCGGATTCCTATAAGACGGCGAAAAAAGTGCGACGGTATCCGTACAAACATGGTAAAAAAAACTCCTATAATTCGATATAAAGTCATCGGGCAGCCGAACTACTTTCCGCCGTCCAGCGCCACGCTTCGGAGAGTTTAGGCGGGTAAATTGAGCTAACTATCGTCTGTACAGTATGTAAATTAGGTACCGTAAGTCTAATACAGCACTATAATTTTATACATTTCTTGTGAAAGAAACATTTCTTATTCAACGGCCATAAAAATTATTTATATTAACGATGTCTCCAAAGTTCAGCGAATTTTTCGCAGAAAAATAACTTGTCAGAAAAGTTTCGTCATTGCTTAAGCTTGTTTTCGTCGCGAAGCGTCCGTCCGCGACGAAAACAAGCTTAAGCAATGGCGGCGTCGAACGGTGCACACTCGGTAAGTAATCCTACGACTTTTTGTTTATAGCATAGTTTATATAGATTATTCCCAAAAAAATTATACGTATTTTGGAAATGTTGAGTTGAATTAGTCTAGAATCGATTAATTTTATGGAAGAAAACCTTTCAAACAGCCGTAGTCCGTAAACTTCACACGTGTCGGGCTGTGATTGGCAAGGCCTCGTATAAAATCGATTCATAAAGAATGGAACGTATCTACCGTGTTATAGGGGGGTCGACTGTACATATAGGTCTACATATATATATATATAATCACTGTAATCCAAAAGAATTTTTTTCGTTGAAGGTCTCACAGCACTTCCGGTTACAAAATAGAGACTTTATTGCATAAATTGAACGTCGGATAAAAATGAATTTCGGGTTGTTGTAAATCAACAACCTCTCTCCAGTGCTGCTAAAAAAACAACAGAATAATTGAGAACTCGACATTACTTTTATATTGTAAAAAAACATTTACAACAAGCACTTACATGTTTCATAGAAAAACGACATAAAAAGATTCCATTTTTACACTTTGTATTTTTTTCATTCATGGAAAAATAAATATACATTAGATTTTATACGATCTAGTGGATTTTTAATGTATATTTATGGTAAATAGAAATTGTGAAAATAAATTTTTTATGTCGTTTTTCTATGAAACATGTAAGTGCTTGTTGCAAATGTTTTTTACAATATAAAAGTAATGTTGGGTTCTCAATTATACTGTTGTTGTTTTTTTAGCGGCACTGGAAATGGATTGTTGATTTACAACAACCCGAAATGCATTTGTAGCCGACGTTCAATTTATGCAATAAAGTGTCTATTTTGTAACCAGAAGTGCTGTGAGACCTTCAACGAAAAAATAATAATAATAAAATATAAATATAAAGATAATAAAATTATATCAAATTACTAAGTTATAACGACTAGAAAGTTTTTATAAAATTTCGAATTACTTCATATATATTTTCTCTATAGAAGATCAAAATTGACTTTTCAGGACAGTATCTATGCAGCAGGCTTTCGAAGTAATGAAGAAATGTGTGAATGATAAAAATGCCAAAATCTATTGCATCAAAGATACGTCTGACTTTAGTAAGTTTGTGGCAAATTCAAACAAGCCTCCTTGTATTGAAGCGGGACCAATAGAAGGCTGCATCACTGTACCCCAAATTTTTTCACCGGTAAGTTGCGAATACAATTAACTTCCAACGAGTATTTTTAATGCTCCGAATATATTTTTATGTAATTTTCTTGCAATTTTTAGGGAGTTTACGACTTTTATGTGGAATTACTAGTAACTACGCACCAGGTTATAACTTGCTATAAAATTCAAGGAGTGGAATTCAAATAAATACTATATTCTTGTTTCCACGAATAAAGTAAGTTGACACTGCAAAAATGAGAGTAATGCGTACTTCCGTTAATTTTACAATTTACACAAATTAATTTCGTATTTAAAAGTTTCTAAAGAATAATTTTAAAACGTTCTAGTTCCGTAATTAACGAGTTTTTCAATTCTTTATTTTCTTTTTATTTGGGAACTTTCAAACAAGAGAAGAATTTTACATTTTTTTACAAGATTTGTAATAATTAGAATAAGTAAGAATTTACTGTATTTAAACTGGTGACGCGATTATACGTCGTTCGCGAAATATTAATTTACTTCTCTAACATCGCGTTATTTATCGTTTTCATTACTTTTATCCATAGGATATTTATCGGGAAATAATCGATTCATTCTCAATTTTGCGTTGATAGTTTTCATTCTTTTTAAACGGTAGAAGTAATCATTAATACTTTCCGAATGCGTGGCGTTACGTAGAAATATTTCATTTAGTTATATAATACACTGTGAATTCGATAGTCGGCCACGAAAAATAATGAAATAAACACGACAAAGTGTGTGGAGCCGGACGAAATTCTAATTAAAAACACGTTTCTATTCTTAGATGCGTGGCAATTGTATCGAAAAGCAATATACAAAGGCATATAAATCGTTTTAATTTAGACAAATTCTCGTCAAATTCCTTGCAGCATATTGTTCTTGTGTTAGGTAAACTTATCAAACGAGTTTCACTTTAAATATATTTTTTTCATTTTTTAATACGTTGGAAAAGTTAATTTCCAGGCAAATACGTTAAATTTGCATTGAAACTGGTTTAATCAGCCACATTCTTTGATTTCAAATTTGTAGCTTGTCGCATTATTTCCTTTTACCGATTCAAATTTTTCAATCATGTGACTTTCTCGTTGTACATTTTGTTGTATTCGAAACAATGAAACATTTCTCCTGGTATGCCCCGGAATACTAATTTTATTATCATATTTCTTCATTTAAGCAAACTCCGCCATGCGGAGAAGAGAAACAAACTTTCACAAATACAGAACTTTTGTTATGAACTACACTCAACATAAAAATTACAAAATTACAACTGAGTAAAAAACATTAAGTTCGCTAGTATGTTCCAGTGTAAAGTAAAGCAGCAACAATAAAAACAATAATATTTTTTACATGTAAGAGACAAAATATTAGTCACAAATCCACCGAATGAGAGATGCCTTTTTATAATGTTATTATACGTCACAACTTTTACGAATTATTTATCGAACTGTCGCTCCAGTACGAATAAAGTAATTATGGTTTTCGGGACGCCTACTCAATTTATGCAGACAAGTTCCAATCTAAGAAATGAATATCTTTATCTATAACATTATTTTTTTTATAAATGTTGCTTTATGTTCTTCTTTAACAATTACTATACCATTCACGCTAAGACAAAGTACTGCGTGTTAAACGATATTCTATAAAGTCTAATTAAATTTCCTAAAGTAACTAGCAGATTCATATGAATTATGGTTAAAAATAGGAAATAATAATTTTTTTATTTGAATCATCTTTCTTGTTATACGCTAGAAATTAATTTTATAAACAAAAGATGGAAATCGTCTACAACTAGTTACATATCCACAGATAAATTAAGACAATCCGAGCCATTGATAAAACAATTTTGTTGGTCCTACTTTAAGTTCTTATAATACTGTACCTGCAAATAGTCTGACGTTGCTCAGACGAAAAGTAACAATAGCGAAGATTAAGATTATAGCCGATCTTACCCGTATTCACCGAGTGAAACAATTAGGACCCCTCTTTTGAGACTGGTTAGAGAAGTTTTAGATGGGTCTAAAAATATGTTCAATTTCCAGAAAAAAACGCAAAAAACAGTATTTAAAATAGTACAGTAGAAACCGAGTTTTTCAAAGTAATCCTTAATCCTCTCCCTCTCCCCGCGTGCAGAATTTCGAAAAAGATCCCTACTTAGTGTACATTCTCATGACGTACCCAGTATACCAAATTGCAACTTTCAACTCCTAACCGTTTGGGCTCGGCCCTTATTACTATTATTATGTTGGGTTTAGTGAGTTATACTCGGTTTACACCGGTGGCTGTGTACTATGCCGGACCAGAGTCAAGGCATAGCAACCAAAACAAAACTAAAATTAAATAAGTGTATCAGTGTCTGTATTCAGGAATTTCCTAACAATATGACATGTATTCAATCTTGTGGCCTTCTGTAGTGTGATGTATGCTCCACTGTGAAAAACAACAAACTGCAAATTGCTCTATTACTTTGTTTTCAAAAACTTCCTTCTCTGTCAGCTGAGGGTCAAATGGCTAACAGATTGTTTACTTCAACTCAGGGAAATGTGATGGTGTCATAAAACTATAAAATGATTTAAAAATACCAATGGAAGAAATTAAATTATTTCCGGTCAAATTTCAGTTTTTTAGAAGTTATTCGCTTTATAATAACGCGATTATAAGCGAAGAACAAGCGCGCGCCGTAGCTGCAGCTATTTTTAGTAACAGCGACTGGCGGGAAATTTGAAAATAGAAATCCGAGATCACGCGCGCCATAGTGCCGATTCGGCACCAATAATTAAATAAAAATAATCAGACGCTTTAAGCAAGAACTGAATTGCGCATCGTAAAATTAAAGAAAAATTAGACAGGTAATAATTTTTTCAGATTTTTCACACAATTAGAATTTTTACATGAATTAATTAAAAATCGATTGGCGCCTAATCGGCACTAGGCGCGTGCCGACGGGTTTTAATTAATTAATAAATTTACACTTGAAAAATTTCTTCCGAATCGCATCTCAAATTACTGATTATTTTAATTAAGAATCGTTTGCAAATTAATTTATGAATATTTGGGCCACAAAATTTAGACTATTTTTTTAACCAATTCCAATCGTCCAATCGACAGTTTAGTCATTTTTTAACGACTAAGCTATTGATTAGACTTTAGTGATTATCTTAAAAATAAGCAGTAACGAGTTGCATAGATTTCGGGCAAAAAGTTAGAATTACAGTTAAGTCTCGTAACAGATGCAAAGTTTATACAAAGTCAAGACACCAATATTCCTTACGGAGCCGCCATATTGAATCTTAGTTCGAAGGTCTTGCTATGTACAGTACGTGCAGTAGGTTACTATGATATATAAAAAAGTAAAATCATGACTCTTCCGAAACTGTCAGCGGAATAAAGGAACCATCTTACACTTTTGGCTGAAGAATTTTTACAATTCGTTTCGGATTACCAAACCATTAAAAAAAATAGATGATAAGAAATTCGACAAATTGAGATCGGAAAAAGTAGCCAAAATCTCTCTAAAAGCACCGTACACGCGACCTCCAAAGTCACAATACGATGACTAACTGGATACATCACGGTATCGTGTGTTTATAGATCTTAAACTGATGGCGGCAAGTGTGGTGCCATCTATTACGAGGTTTTATTTTTAAAACGTTTTTATATTAAATTAGTTAATTAATTAATTATTATATAACGGCAAAAGGATTAATTTTCAGGAGAGAGAAGAGCTTTATAAAAAATTATAAAAGTTTAACTAGTCTAACGAGTAAAATTTTGATTAAATCCACCTTACTCTAGATATGATATATAACTCCCTCTCTTTCCCCACGCCTTCTACCTTTAACCATCAAAACGTAAAAGCATCAATCCCCCTTAACAGGCAAATCTGTCTGGAAAATTTCAGAAATTTTCGTCAAAAAGCGTAGGAGTTATTAAGCTTCAAACAGGGTGACAGAATCGTGCCCCACACACGCACATACCTACTAACACAAAAGAAAAAACGAATTTTTCTATTTCTTGAAGTTTCCCGAGTCCAAAAATATATATATATATATGCCTATACATATAAAACTTTGCATCCGTCTTTTAAGGAGGAAAAAATTCCAAAATTAACTTATATTATTTTAGACGTCATCATATAAAATTGGAACAATTGGGTATGGATACAACTTTGTCTAATAATGTAGCTCGATATTTAATTAAATATTCTATTCAACAAACTGAAACGAAGGTTTACAACGGTATGAAAACTAACATTATATCTTATAAATAATTTATAAAAATATATTACACGAACAACACAGTGTTTTAAATATATTTAGAAACTTATAATACGCCTACTTACGGAGAACTTCATAACGTACAGTATCTGTCAAAAGTTTTGATACCGAGTGTTATCTTTTATACTGTCCAGAAAGAAATGGCAAAGTTTTGCTTAGCTCCATTCAAAAATAGAACACCGAAAGATTACAAAATCGTTTACTCTATAAAGAATGGACTTTCCTCGTTCTACGAAAACAGCCAAGGATAACAACTAATTCACAAAACTTTGAAAATAGTGCGTAGATGTGATGTCGCCAAGACGTAGCATTTTTACAATTTTTTTACCTTTCGCAGACTTCTTATTTTCGGATTAATTAAACAACTTTTTCTGTCTTTTAATACGGTTTTCGAAAATTTTTCATCTATTTTCAAATATGTTATTTTCTATTTAATAGCGAGGTTGCGGCCGAAGTTTTCATCTCTAAAACGTGAACGTGAAACGTCGAGCGCCGCTTACAAGATACGGAGCTGGACGTTCGACAATCTCGCTAATTGCTTCAATTTTTAACCGTAATTTAATATAAATTATATGTTTGTTCCAACGATTAACAGTTGAAAAATCGTTTCGAATATGCTTTTTCGTTCGGATTTGTTATAAATATAATTTATTTCAAAACTAGAAGAATAATAATAAAATGGGTTTGCGCATTTATAATATAAAATTTTAAAATTCGATTAATTATTTTGTTTTAATCACGAATGTGACGAGACTTACAACGATTCTGTTGTGTCTGCGATAAACTGGATATATACATCGCGTGACTTTTGTTTCGTAGAAATTCTCACGCCTGGAGGAAGACAACTTCGGAGTGCAAAAAGGTTAACTCCTTCACCTTTCGATCGGCCGGGAATAAAAAGAAAGATAAATAAAATTTTAAACAAGTTATTCGAAACTCTAAAAAATATTTAATATTTTT